ATGCCTACTATGTGCCAGGCACTGTGCTATGTTCTGGGGATACATAGGCAAAAATGAAACAATTCCTGACTTCATAGAACTTACATTCTATAGGGGGAAACAACAAGTATACAAGTAAGAGTATCAGGGTTTGCAACGGCCACAAGGATGGGTTCAAGGCAGGGATGAAACTGTATGAGAGGTTAGAAGACAAGACTGAGATTTTGTGCTATGCCTAATGAGTTGACCCATCTCCACTTGGGTCTTTTATTGGCTTTGCCTATTGGAAAGACTCCTGGGCCTTGATTTTTCCCATTCAGATTTCTAGACTGCCTTTTGATCTGAGTCTTTCTATTTATCTGGGAGCAGAGGAGCTCATGAGACTAGAAGCTCTCAGTGGAGCAGGCAGCCTATTGCGGTTTGTGGCTGATTGAAGCCTTCCAAGCTGAATGAAGCATAGGATGAGCTGGAAGAAATCCTGCAGGATCTTAGTAGTCAACTGTGCACTTGGAGTGGAGGAAAGACCAGGGAACTGAGATGACTGGGGAGTACTGGGCCCCAGCAGAACTTCTTGTTGTTCAGTCACTTTTTTCAGTTCTGTCTGACTCTTTGTGACCCTGTTAGTGGTTCTTTTTTGGCAAAGATATTGGAGTGGTTTGCCATTTTCTTCTCCAGCTCATTTTACAGATGAGGAAACTGAGGCAAACAGGGTTAAGTGACTTGCCCAGCATCACACAGCTAGTAAGTATCTGAGGAAAAATTTGAACAAAGGTTTTCCTGACTTCAGGCCCCCTGCTGTGCCACCTGGCTGCCCTTCTATATGAGAGTCTTTTGAAAACCTGAAGATAACTATCATTGTTTCCCTAAGACTTTCTTTATCCAGGTTAAACATCCCTACCTCCTTCAACTAATCTTCCTATGACATTTCCCCATCCCATTTTCCTTCCTCCGTATATAACTATCAATTTTCTTCTTAAATCTGGAGACCCAAAATAAAAAACAATTCATGAGGGCAGAGTTTGGAGGGATTATCACCTCCTTATTATCAAGGTTTAGGTCTCTTAATACAGTCCCAAATCAAACTGGCTTTTTGGGCCACACACTGTTATTTAACCTCATTCACTAAAGGTCCACGAGAAGCCTAGTACAGTACTAAACTCTGCTGAGAGTTTCAAACAATATAGAAAACATGGTCTTTGCTCTCAAAAATCTTACAATATAATGGGAGAGAAAAGGCAAGTCTATAAAAACATATTAATGCAGGTGACAGAGATTATAACTGATTTCTATTCAGGGTCTTGACAGTTTGTCTCCTTCAGGGCTTAAAAAAAATCTAATGCTGATGTGTTGTGAAATTATATCTATCCCTTAGATATGTTATTTTGAAATTAAAAGCTTATAAAAGCTCAGCTGCATCTTTCTTTTCCTTTCCTTTCTTTTCTTTTTATCTAGACCTGTTTGGTGGCATAGGAAATACCATAGAGGCAGCTCCTTCTATCAATACAGATCAGCAAATTGAAGACGGGTCTGAGAAGTGGGAGACAACGATGATCAGTTGCTAACCCAAGATTCTTCTGAGAAGACTGAAGGCCCTGACTTTGATGAACTGCTTCTAAGCCAAAGGTAGGGCAGAGTGAGACAGTATTTTCCTCTACTCTATGAATGTGATATTTGGGGGATAAAAGATAAACTACCCTGGCTAAGGGCTTCCAGAAACATTTGTTGCCTTAGGGAGAGTCAATATATGAACTCAGTCTCAGTCATTAGGAAAGCTGCAAACAGTTTCTGGGGCTGGTCATGCACTTTTACCTGAACTGCAGGTAGCTTTGCTACTCAAAACCAATTGGGGAATCTTAGTATCAGATTTTATTATCTTTCTATTTCTTGTACTAAATGTATACTAAGACATAACGTGAATATATTTCCTTAGGGATTATGTGAAGTAGAGGAGATAAGAATCTTAATAGGAAATGATACTTGAGTTACACCAAACTAGATCTGAAGATTTTCCTGGACAAAACTATAGATAGGGGGGGAAAAAAGTTAAAGTTGTAATACACTTAAGAAATATTATTAAATTGTTATCTTTACATTAAAAAAAATCCTATACAGAGTTTAAAGGAACCTGTGGAGGCTTACTATTGCTAGAACAACTTCCCAAGTTATTTTTAGCCACAACATTCATTGGTCCTTCACTTGTGGAGAACACTTGACCTAAAATAACCATGACTCCTACCACACAGGTAGGATAAAAGCTCTACTCTCCTTACCTGCCTTTATATATGGAGATCAAACTCCTATTTCTTTAGCAAAATGACTGATAAAGTATCTTGTGCTATTCTAGTAAAGATGGAGAAATGTGAGGTAGGCAGTAGTATTCTGATTTCAGAACTGGTTGAATGACTGACTCTAAGAGTTCCTATTACTGGTTTGAGGTCAACTTGGCAGCAGGTTTCTGGGGGAGTGCCTCAGGAATCCACGCTTGGCCTTGTGAAACTTGACATTTTCTTTTTCCAGTGACTTGGATAAAAACATTGATGACATCTGAATCAAATCATCAGCAGGACACCAAATTGAGGGCTATAGCTAAGATGATCGCTCAGACCTAAAAAGATCTTGATGGGCCCACTGAAAGCTTCCATTCATTCAAAAAATAGCCATGCACATCATTCTGTTTCTGTGGGTATTATTCAATTATTATAAGAATTGGCTAATTCTAAGTAAAGCAGTATGGCATGGTAGAGAAGCCAGGAAGAATTTGAGAAGAGAAGATTCAGGGGGACACCTTTTCTGAATTCAAGTATTTGAAGGGCTTTGTTCAAGGAAGGATTAGCTTGCTCCATTTGGCCCCAGAGGGTAGAACCTGGAGCAAAGGAAGGAAGTTACAAAGAGGTAAATTTAGGTTTATTGTCAAGCCAAACCTGCTAACAATTACACTTACCCATGGAAAGTTTCTCCCTCTGTGGAGGACTTCAAGCCTAGACTGGATGCCTTCTTCGATACAGTAGGTGGTCACCACGAGTCCTATTAACTGAAGTTCTGTGATTCTGTGAGAGGACATCTGTAAAATGTTTTATTAGGATGAACCAGTAGCATGAGGAATTAATAAAGGCACCTCTTCTCAGATGTTTGACAATGACAGATTTGGTTCTCTTTTGATCTTTGTCCTTCTTCTATTTGATTTCCACCATTGAATGAGTTCATGTTGATTTTATGAAGTAGAACTATAATATAATATGACTTAAAAAACACAAACAAGAATTTATACATTTAATGTTTTCCCCTTGGGGAACGAGCCTATATTCCAGCCTTGACATTACTCAAAACACATTGAAAATTCCTCTATTTAGAATGATTATTTTTTGAACAAGACCAATGACTTCATTGTTATAGGAAACTCTCATTACCAATACCAGGTTACCACTAGCTTTGCAATTTATAGTCTTAGAGAGTTACATGGAAATATACTAAGAGGTTACATGATTTATACAGAGCCCTATACATATACTTCGCATACAAACCAGTATATGCCAAAGGCATTCAGGTCCTCTCTATGTGCTATACTAAACAGTGCTACTTCGCCTAGAATAAGTAAATTCTTGCAATAATTAAAAAATACCCACAGAAACAGAATGATGTCCATGCCTAACTTTGAATAATTTAAGCTTTCAGTGGGAAGGTATAATTCCTTTCATGTTTTGTACTACCTTCTGGAGAAGTGGGTACGAATTAATATAGAAAGGTTCTTAATTGTAATTATATAATTAACATGCAGTGGTGTGGTTTTAAGCTCATAAAGCCCAAAACTGCACTAAGTTTTTGGGACACCCTATATATAAAACCAACAAAATTTAGAGCCAGTCCAACCTCCTCTTTTTCACATATGAATAAACTGAGTGAGGGTCGGAGAGATTAAGATCGGTGTAAGATCAACACAGGTAGTAAATAAAAGAGCTGGGGATTTGCACTCAGATCCTCTTGATTCCAACTCAACAGAAATTGATGAGCCCAGGATTTCCACTCTACAGACTATCATTATTTTCTGTCAGTTTTTTCCTCTCCCCAACATTTTCTTTCCTCTATCTGCCTTTACCTTCTGTTTCAAGACCCTGTTTTCTTTCTGCCAGACAGAGCTAATTTCTAGCCCTCGTTCCCAGATGCTCGAGCCCACCCCTCACAACCCCCTATAGCCTCTCTCTCTCTCTCTCTCCCCCTCTCCTTCCCAGACGCTAGAGTCCACCCCCACAACCCTCCACATTCCCCTCTTCTCCATCTCCCCCTCCCCCTCTCTCCCTCATTCCCAGATGCTCGAGCCCACCCCCTACATTTCCCCCTTCTCCTCCCCCTCCTCCCTCTCTCTTCCTCATTCCCAGATGCTCGAGCCCACCTCCCCATCACCCCCTTTCTCTCTGAACCCCCGCTAGAGTCAGAACTTTGGCCCCCTCGTCCCTCCAACCAAGAAGCAGAACAGAGAAAGAGGGTCGAGGGGGTTGGGGAGGAGGGGGAGGAACTGGGGCCCAGCCAGGCCGAGGGAGGCCGAAGAGCTGCGTCGCCATGGCAACGGGCCCGGGCAGGAAACGAGGGAAGCGAGGGAGGGAGGGAGGCGAGGAGAGGAGAGGGAGAGGAGTGGAGGGATCGGGCTGCCCCGGAAGCACCTCCTCCGCCAGCCCCCCTCTCCTCCATCCCCAGCCTGCCAGCCCACCCGCCCCCTCCTCCCCGCTTGGCAGGAAGTGACAGGGCCCTGGAGGGAGCCCCGGAGGCCAGAGCGGAGCTGCCGCCTGTGCCCGCTGCCCGGCCCGGCCCCGGCCGAGGAGGAGGAGGAGGAGGAGGAGGAGGAGCCCGGCGGGCGGGCGGGTGCGCCGCGGCCGGGACCGTCGCTTGGTCACCCCGCCCCCCTTCCCTCCGGGCTGGGGAGGGAGGAGGCGCGGAGCCCGCTGCCCCCGCCGCCGCCGCCGCTGCCGCCGCGGAGCCGAGGCCCGCCCGAGCCCCCCCGCCCGCACCTCAGCCCCGGGGCTCCGTCCCCGCCCCTCGGCGCCGGCGCGTGGGGATCCCCCGACACCTGAGGTGGATGCCTCCCGGGAGGCCCCGGGGGCCGAGCCGGGCGAGAAGGTAACCGCCGCCGCTGGGAGGGCTTGGCCACCCCGCCTCCGCCGCCCCCTCCCCCGGCCGCGGCCGGAGCGGTCCTCGGGTCCTCCGCCTCCCGGGTCCGTCTTCCAGGCCGGCCGCCGCCGCCTCCTCCCCCGGACCTGTGCCGGGTCTGCCCCCCATTCATTTTCTGCCTCGAACTTTTTGGCTCCTGCCGCCCGGCGGCTTCCCCTTCTGGGCATCCGCCTCCTCGATACCAGGCTCCTGCCCGTGTCGCCGGTCCCCGCTTCTCTGCCATTTCCTAACCCTGCTCCTCTTCTCCTTGTCCCTCTTTCCCGTCTGTGGGGGCTCCCCTTCTCCCTTGGGCATCCCCATTTCGCTACTTGGGGATCTGTGCACCGAGGGCCCCTGGGCATTTTGCTTTTTCTCTTCCCCTGCTTTCCTTTCATCCTCTTAACTATGACAGTGCCCCCGGCCCCTTCACACTACCCTTGTCTGTCTTTCCTCCTCCTCAAGGATCTGTCCTGGGAAATTTCACTTGGAAGTGGGTTCCTGCCTCCATCATCTCCTCTTTAAGTTTGTTGTACTTAACACAGTTGATACTTTTTTCCCCCTGCATTTTCTGTCTTCGGTAGCATTAAGATTCCCAACTCCTGACCTACAGAGGAATAAACTTCTAAACTGGCATCCAGAGTTCAGGGGTCTTTGATGCCTTTCCTGGTGTTCAGGAGGCTCTTCTGGGGCAGTTTCTCCTTCTGTAAAATAGAGCTATAAAAAGGATCTGCTTTTTCACCAATTAGTAATAGGATTCGTGGGTCTGTTTCCTGAGTGCTTTAGAATCTCAGATACGAGGTGTAAGAAGTCAGAACAGATCCCGGCGTAGTACCACTTCCCAGATAGCAAGCATTTTTCCCATTAACTTCCATACTACTCCTAAATTTAACTGTGGTTGTCTTTAGTTTTTTGAGAGTTATGACTGTGTCAAATAATATTGGGAGGGATAAGAACTTGGAGTAAAGAGAAGACTTTTAGTCAAAGTTTCTGTCATGGTCCTGTACTTTGATTTTTATTTAGTTTCTTATGACTATAATCCCAAGACGAATAATACAAGGAAATCATTGACGGCCCTCAGCAGAAAATATGATTTCATCTTTTTCGTTTCTGAGCCAAATAATGCTCTTCTGACCTTACATTTCCTGGTATAGATGGGTTACTGATTTCCCCACCCATCCAAGGGAGACAGTGGTGCAGATCAGGCTTTGGGAAAAAAATCATGGGTCGTTGTATATAGCCTCTATTCAATTCAATGGAGTTCAGAAAAAGTAAAAATGAACAATAGAAAACATTTTCAAGCAGGTTTGTGAATGCATTTATACTTTTACCTCCTGTCTCTTTAACTGGTTCTTAGCAATATTTGGAAATCTCTTTAAGGAAAGGGCTGGAGACTAGGATAGGAGTCAGTAGAGCCAAGTTCTGGTTTTGGATTTCCACTAACTCACCTTGTGATCAGGGGTGAGTCCCTTCACCTCCTGAACCTTGTTTTCTCCATATGTTAAGTGAGGAAGTTGGACTACTACTAGGCCATCTTTAAGATCTCCTGGAAGACTTTTACATTACTTTTATATGTATCAGTCCCAGTATTTTTAAAGAGGTTTTGTGTATTCGGTGTGGTTAGGGGAAGGACTCTTTTTAAAGGTTAAAACCTCAAACCTTATTCTCTTTTGAAAATTTCCTTTGATTTTAGGATAATTTTAATCTTGCATGGGTATGTGAAATACTTATACAACATTGTTGGAAAGCCTTTTTTTAAAGATGGAGGAACTGAGGCACGAATATGGGGAAGTGACATTCCCAAACTAGGATCAGAGCTAAAGATAGGCAAGGGTTCAAGCTCTGATTCTTTCATTAACTTAGCTCATTGGCTTTAGGCAAATAACTTAACCTTTCTGTGCCCCAGTTTCTGCACTTGTAAAATAAAAATAATAATACTTGCCCTGTCATCTCAGGGAGTTAAGATTAAAAGGTAACAGGAGAAGGCTTTGAAATGTTTTTTTTTTTTAATTTTGTCTTCCTTTGGTATTGTTGCTACAAATTTCTTTACCAAAGACCGTTGAGTTCCTCTTTATTGACAGCTTTGAGAAAAGGCAGTATATGGGAGATCTGTAACTTCAAAAGATTACAGGAGTTTGGGGTGGAGAAGAGTGGATATAATGTCTGAATAGAGTGGAGAGTTGGGATTGGTAAAGTTATGTGAGTTCTAAGAGTGTAGAAGGTGAAGGTTTAGCAAAGGAAGATTAATCTATTTTGGTTTTTTCCTGACCTAAAATAAAAAGGGGGGGGGAAGGTATTTTAGATTGGGTTATGACTTCACTGATTTTGCTTCCCTCTAGGTCTCACGTTCAGAGCGTTAGCTTTGGGGCCCCTGGACTGCTGTAATGGAAACTGAGAGTGAACAGAACTCCAACTCCACCAATGGGAGCTCCAGCTCAGGGGGCAGCACGCGCCCCCAGATAGCTCAAATGTCACTATATGAGCGGCAGGCAGTGCAGGTAAGGAGGGTTTCTGAGGGTGAGGGGCTGTGATTTGTGGGCTGGGCAAGGACATAGAAAGATAGATTAGATGGTCCATTACCTCAGCTTCCTCATTTGTAAAAAGAAGGGGCTGAACTAGTTACTGAACTAGCATAGAAAGCTTCCAAAAAGGTTTGGACAATTAGAGTACAAGGAATCAGAAGCAAGTAAGTTGCCTTTGTAAGGTTGATTGCATTGTTCTATTCATGTAACTGTCTGTTTCTGATGCTCATGTCAGATTTGGCATCTACTGACCTCGAGGAGCAGTGTGACATAGTAGAAAGGACAGGATTTGCAGACATGATCTGAGTTCAGATTCAAACTCTGTTCCTACCCATGTGATCTTCTCACTTGACCCCTCTAGGCCTCAGTTTGCTCATTTATCCAGAGATTGGACTTAGTGATCTCTAAGGCCCATTCAAGCTCTGAAATTCTGTGATCCCCTTTTATGTCATTTTGGATTATATGATTACATTTAATGTATCTCTTTTCATATTTTTATAAGTGAAGTTTCTGTTGTTTGTTATTGATTGGAAGTGGTGTAACCTGTATCTGTGAGGATTGGAGCAGTCATTCCAGGTTCTGCAGTAGCCCAGGGTCATAATTATGAGCCTCAGTTATTATTGTATGTTTTTAGAATACCAGTTAATTGAAAATTCTTATTTCTAGAGTGCTAGTTAAAAACATTTTATTACCTTTCGAATCAAATGAAATGATACAAATAAAGCCCTTTGCAAACTTTAATGAGCTGTATAAATACTCATTGTTACTATTATTGTTATCTCCTCTCCCCTCACTTGATATTCTTTTACCTTCCTGGGAACCATGGTTTTGGTTTTTAATCTCCTTCTCCTAAAATGTCTTCACCTACTGTTTGTTTCCCCTCAGAATGTTCTCTTCCTTTCTACAGCATAGTCAAAGATCCGCCTATGAGAAATATGGATTTGTATGAGTTTTCACTGTTCTCTTTTTTGATGTACCAACTTGATTTGGTACAGCTTGTACCCATTGCTTCAAATAGAATATTGGTCCAAATAGAATAGTTACTTAATTCCTCAAGGACAAAATCAGATTGCTGTTGTATATATCCCTGGCTTCCACCTCTACCTGGCCTGTCTTTTTCAAACTGGCTCACGGCAGCGCAGATAGGTTGGGAGTCAGCAGTTCCCCATTCTGAGTGACTTTGTCTCTCTCTTGTTTCTTTCAGGCCCTGCAGGCATTACAGAGACAGCCTAATGCAGCCCAATACTTCCACCAGTTCATGCTTCAGCAGCAGCTCAGCAATGCCCAGCTGCACAGCCTGGCTGCCGTCCAGCAGGTGAGAGGTCAGCAGCCAGCTGGCCCAAGAGGGAGGGGACAGGCACCACAGGTGGGTCAGGGAGACCTTTGGGGAGGATTGCATATATCAAGTAGGGCTGGAGATAGAGTCTCTCCTCTGCCTCTTGTCCTTCTTTGGGGAGGGACAGTCCTTTGACACTTTACTAGAGTCTCTAGAGTCAGTGGAAAGCCAGCCCAAGTTAGAATTTCTGAGGTCTCATCTCAGTACTGACTCATGATGTAACCCTACAAGAGGGCCTTCTGATCCTAAGTTTTACTTATCCAGTAAGTGGGAATAAGAATATTGACCTCATTGAGCCCCATTGAGGCTATAGGTCATCGTTGTTGCATATGTAAAACAGCTTTGCAACAACCAAAACAAAAGGTGAAAACACCTTCTGTCTCCATACTCTGTAATAAAACCTCTCTGTCCTCACCAGGGATTTTTTGTATGTTTGTGTGTGTTATATGTTATTGGAAGACTCAGGGTCTTTCTTTGTCTCTGTGCTCTCTCTTCTCTCTTTTGTTACACACAGGCCACGATTGCAGCCAGTCGGCAAGCCAGCTCCCCGAGCACCAGCACACCTCAGCAGACCACTACCACTCAGGCCTCGGTAAGTATTTCTTCCTGCTAGGGCGGCTGATTTAGCACTTCCAGTGTTTGAGGAAGGTCAAGGTAGGGAAGGGAACAAGCATTTATTAAGTGCCCCCTACATGCCTGCACTGTGCTAAGCACTTTACAAATATGATCTCACTTAATCCTCATGATAACTTTGGGAGGTAGGTGCAATATATATGGGGAAATTGAGGTCAACAGTGGTTAAGTGACTTGCCTAGCATAACTACTAAGTGCCCAATGCTGGATTTGAACTCGGGTCTTCCTGATTCAGGCCCCAGCACTATCCACTAAGACACCTAGCTATCTCTATTTGAGTTTGGGAACCAAGCCAATTCAAGCTAATAGCAAAGACTTCTTTTGCATAGAAAATAAAAGCAAGGAGGAGAGGGGCTATTTGAATCTGTTTTAGTGTCTTAATAGGAGACATAAATAAGGTGAAAGAATGAAACTAGGGGGAGATATCTCTTCCTGGGAAGTGACCAGCACTCAGAGCTGGGTATCCCTTTGATGAAAGCCTATGTCCTGTGCATCTGTGACTGGCAGCCCAGCGTGCAGGGTCTAACGGATGACATCCAATGATGTTCTGGACCTCTAGGACTTAGGGTGACAAGGAAGTAGTAGTATGCCTCCTCAACCTCATATTCATGAGGAGTCGTGATGCTCCCTTTCTTTGACCCTGCCTGAGGGGTTTTGTGCACTGGGGGAAGAGGTCCTATTCTTGAATGTAATGCTAGATTTGTTAGAAGGGAAACATATGAGGGTTTTCTGTCCCTTTTAAATCTTCCCAAGTATCCATAGGTCTTGTTCTTTTTCTGTCACACAGATCAATCTGGCTACCACATCTGCCGCTCAACTCATCAGCCGTTCTCAGAGTGTGAGCTCCCCCAGTGCTACCACTCTTACCCAATCTGTACTCCTGGGGAATACCACCTCTCCACCCCTCAACCAGTCTCAGGCTCAGATGTATCTTCGGGTAAGCCATTATACATAACCATCATCCCTTCAGGGAACAAACACCCTGGTCTAGCTATCTAGCAAGAATGTGGGACATGTCACTTCATTTGATCTTGGTCACCCAGATGTCTTGGGACAAGCTGCTCTGTTTTCCTTGCCTGTCTTTACCCTAGGAATGATTACTGGTCTTTGTAGTCCCCAGACAGATAACAGAGTGCTTTGAGATCCCAAAATAGAAGTGCTAGATCAGGGCTAAAGGATCAGTTCTTTGCCAAAGTTATATTAACAGTTTCTTGTTTAATAATCAACTCAGTGTTAAAATGTTAGTATAAGAAGAAATCCCTGCCTCCTGGCCAATTCCAGCAGATTGCCATATCTCAGCCCATTTTCCAATTGTACTTATTTTAAATCTTTGATGTCTTGACCAATTCATTTCTCAAATACATGAATCCCTGCTCTGGTTTCTTGCTATAAATCCAGTTTTCTACACACTAATCAAAACATTGAGAGCGAAAGGCCTGACATGGAAAGAGCCAGGCTTAGCTGTTTCATCAGTTGTTTCTGTTTTTATCTTGTGTTCTCTGTTTCTCTGCTTCATTTTTCCCCTTCTGTCTCTTATTCACTTCTCTTCCATTCTTGTTCTTCTGCTGCCCTGCCAGCCACAGCTGGGTAACCTGTTACAGGTGAACCGGACCCTGGGCCGGAATGTGCCCCTGGCATCCCAGCTCATCCTTATGCCTAATGGGGCTGTGGCTGCTGTCCAGCAGAAGTGCCATCTGCTCAGTCTCCGGGAGTGCACACAGATACAGATCAGGTCAGTAATGACTCCTTCAACTGAGGAGAATCAATGTCAACAAAGATTTATTAAGGGTGTCCTGTATGCCAGGGACTCTGCTAGGTGCTGGGCAAAAAAAGACAAAAAAGAAGTAATCTTGGCCCTCAAGGAGCAGAATATCCTGTGTTCTAACAGGAGACAAAACATATGCATACATACAAAACACACAGAAAGCAGATACAAGCTAACCTGGCCAGGGCAGAGGAAGGGAAACTACTATCAGAAAGACGTTATGGGAGGTGGCACTTGAGAATAAAATTAGAGATTCCAAGAATGGAGGGGAGGAGGAAATGCATTCCAGACATCAGAGACAGGAACTAGAGATTAGCAACAAAAAGCTGGAAGGCCAGTTTGGCTGGGCTGTAGGTTGTATAGAGGAGGAGAATGCATTAATAGGTCTGGAAAGATAGAGTTGGGAGAGGTTGTAAAGAGCTTTAGATGCCAAACAGAAGATGCTATATTTGATCCTAGAAATACCAGGGTGATACTGGAGTTTATTATTTATAGTATGATACTGGAGTTTATTATAGAGGTCACTTTAGCTGCTGTGGAGTGGATAGGAGGGAGGATCTTGAGGCAGAGAGATAGACCAGAAACTGTTATGGCCACTATTGCAATAGTAAAGGCAAGAGCTGATGAGGACCTGGACTAGAGAGGGCTGCCATGTGAGTGGAGAGAAGGAAATGGATTGAAAGATGTGGAGGCAGAAATGGAGGATTTGACACGAGTGAGTATGACAGGTAAATGTGAGGAGTCAAGGATGACACCAAGGTTGTGAATTGAATAAGTAGACTGATAGCTGTGCCCTTGACAGAAATTGGAAATTTGGGGAGTTAGATGGACTTAAGAGGGGAAAATAATGAGTTTCGGACCTATTGAGTTAGAAATGCCTCTGAAGCTGGAAGGAATTTGTACTTGATTACATAGACAACAGAGAGGAAATGATCATTTAACAGGACAGTAGCAATAGAAGTGATTATGTTTGTTGTGGGGTTGGGTTTTTTTTTTTTTTGCTTTTTTTGGTGAGGCAATTACAGTTAAGTGACTTGCCCAGGGTCACACAGGTAGTAAGTGTCAAGTGTCTGAGGTCAGATTTGAACTCGGGTCCTCCTGACTCCAAGGCTGGAGCTCTATCCACTATACCACCTAGCTGCCCCTATAGAAGTGATTCTGGGAAGATGAGTCTGACAGCACTACAGAGGAAGAATTAGAGAGGAAAACTGGAGGTAGAGAAACTAGTGAGTAATCCAGGTTTGAGGTGATGAGGGCGTAGACAAGGGAGGTAGCATGGAGATGAGGAAATGGCAAATCGGAGTACTGTTTTGAAGGAAGAGCATAGCATTTGGTAACATTTAATATAGGGATAAGGGCCTTGTCATGTGGAGGAGAGATTAGCCCCAGAGGAAAGAGCAAGCTGTAGTGGGTAGAGTTTTCAGGGAGGCAGATTTTGGCTTATAGGGAAAACTATGTCATCATCATCCTTCATCAAGCATTTATGAAGTATCTGCTATGTGCCACTGTACTAAGGCCTGGGGATACAGATAAAGTAACACAATCCTCGCTTTCAAGGAGCTCACATTCTAAGGGTGAGAGATAATCCACACAAAGAGGGGGCGATATCCTGCAAAAAAACAAAAGACTGAGCATAGAAGATATCTACAGTATAAATGGGATGTAATCTCAGAGAGAAGGCAGTAGCAGCTGACTTTTTTCCTGGAGGCAGTCAGGATTAAGTGACTTACCTAGGGTCACCCAGCTAGTAAGTGTCTCAAGTCTTCCTGACTCCTGGACAGATATCTTGTTTCCTGCACCAGCTAGCTGCCCCTAGTAGCAACTGAATCTTTTTTTTTTTTAATTTTTTTTTATTTCTTTTAATTTGTTTTGGTTTTTTTTGGGGGGGGTTAGTTTTCAACATTCACTTTTATAAGATTTTGAGTTCCAAATTTTTTTTCTCTCTCCCCAAGACAGCATGCAATCTCATATGATATATATAGCCTATCAGCTATACATGTACAGTCATATTTAACAAATTTCCACATTAGTCATATTGTGAAAGAAGAATAAGAACAAAAGGGGAAAACCATGAGAAAGGGGGAAAAAAGAGAAAATAATATGCTTCGATCTGCATTCAGATTCCACAGTTCTTTCTCTGGATGTGGATAGCATATTCCATTTTGAGTCTTTTGGAACTGTTTTAGATCATTGTATTGCTGAGAAGAGCTAAGTCTAACAGAGTTGGTCATTGCACAGTGTTGCTATAACTGTGTGCAGTGTTCTCCTGGTTCTGAGTAGCAGCTGAATATTAAAAGAAAACAAGGGGAGTGCAGAGGCAGAGATGAGGAGAGAGTTCACCAGGCATGAGGTGGGACAACTAGATTAAGGTACAGATTTGAGAGTTCAAGTGGCATTTCTGAGGAACAGCCAGTGTCACTGGACTGGGTGTGGGAGGGAGTAAAATGTAAGAGAACTGGAAAGGTAGTAAAAGGGCAGGTCTGAAGGGCTGTAAAAGCCATTAAGATATTGTATTTGATCCACAAAGTAATAGAAAGCCACTAGAATGTATTGAGTAAGGAGAGTGATGTGGTTAGACCTATAGGAAGATCACATTGGCAGCTGACTGGAAGTGATTAGAGGGGAGAGAGACCAACCAGCAGGTTATTACAATAATCTTAAGTGTGAAATGATTAGGGCCTGTACCAGAGTGATGGCTATCTGAGTGGAGGGAAGGGGGCATATATGAGAGCTACTGGGAAAGTAAAAACCATAAGACTTGGCAACTGATTACATATATGGAGTGAGTGTGAGTGAGGAGTGGAGGATGATAACAAGATTGTGAACCTGGATATCTGGGAGGATGGTGGTGCCCTAGAGAATAATAGGGACATTGGAAAGTATGGCTTGGGAGAAGAGATAACAAGTTCTGTTTTGGACGTGTGTTTGAGGTGCTTACAGAATGTCCCAATTTGAGATGTACGATAAGGAGCTGGTGAGCTGAGAAGAAAGGTTAGAGCTGAACTAAAAGATGGGCTATCTTGAGGGAGAGGTCCTTGTCACTGGAAGTCTTCAAGTAGGCCCCTTAACTGTTCAGTCATGGTTTGGACTACATGACTTCTGGGGTGCTTTCTAACTGACATGCTTTAGGTCTATTATCTCAAAATTTCTAGCTTAGGACAATGGAAGGCTTTTAACATTTTGCTCTAGCCCTGGCGGGGGGTGGGGGAGGTTGAATTTATAATGCAGTGACTGCTTTTCCTTTCCATACCAACACCACAGATTCCTTAAGAAGATGGAGAGATATAGATTAGGCAATAATATAATTAGATGAGTTCAGAACTGGTTGGATGGCCAGGTTTGAAAAGTTAACAGTTCAATGTCATTGTGGCAAGAGGTACCGTAGGCCCTTATGCTAGCTATTATTTTTATCAATGTCTTCAAAAGGCATAGATGGTAAAAGTTTGCAGATGACACAAAGCTAACCCACTGAATGACAGATCTTGACAGATAAGAGCATTGAGATGAATCTAATAAGATAAAAATCAGGGGGCAGCTAGGTGGCACAGTGTATAGAGCTCTGGCCTTGGAGTCAGGAGGATCTGAGTTCAAATCCAGCCTCAGACACGACACCTACTAGCTGTGTGACCCTGGGCAGGTCACTTAACCCCGATTGCCTTACCAAAAAAAGCAAAAAGAAAAAAAAAAAGAAGATAAAGATCAAAAGGGATAAATGTAAAATCTTTCATTTGGATAAAAAAAAATCACTTCCACAAGTATAAGATGAGGAGGCATGGTTAGCAATTGTTCTGAAAACAGTAGTTGTTCTGAAAAAGATCTGAGGGGGCTTGGTGGACTGCAAGCTCAGTATGAGTCATTAATGTGATGTGGCAGCCAAAAACTCACATTTCAGGCTACATTAGCTAGGTATAGCTTCCAGCAATAGGGAGGTGATAGATGTACCAATTTTCTTTGCCATTGTTAGATCTCAACTAGAGTGCTATGTTCAATCTTGAACACCAGAGTTTAAGGTCATTGAAAAGAACCAGAGGAAGACAACCAGAAGGGTGAAAGTGCTTGAATTCATGACATACTAGGATTGGTTGAAGGAAATGGGCATGTTTGGCCTAGAGAGAAGACTCTTGGGGAAACATTACAGCTCTCTTAAAAGTCAAGCTTTAATATCAAGGAGGGATTAGATTAGTTCTGTTTAGCTCCAGAGACTGGAAATTGCAAAGAGGCAAATTTAGGTTCAGCTGAGGTTGGGAAAAATTCCCTAATACTGACTGTGATCAAAAAGTAGAATAGTTTGCCTTGAAAAATGGTGGATCCTTCTTGACCCCCAGCCCCCTTAGAGGTCTTTCTTTTTTTGTGGGGGGGGGGTAGTGTGGAGAGAGGCAGTGGGGTTGAGTGACTTGCCCACGGTCACAAAGCTAGTGAGTGTCTGAGGCCACTCTATCCACTGCGCCATCTAGCTGCCCCTACTTGGAGGTCTTAAAGTAGAGACTGGAAGACCATTCCTTTCTTTGATGGGTTGGACTGAGATGACTGATGAGTCTTTTCCAATTCCTGAATTCTGTTACTTTCCTTAGTTCCCTCCTTTTCTCCCAGTCTACATTTTTACTTCATGTTTTTCAGGTGCAGAACTTGGCAGTGAGGAGCCAACAGTCTTCAGCCCAGGGTCCCCAGATGCAGGGCTCTGCTCAAAAGGCCATTCCCCCTGGAGCCTCTCCCACCACAGGCCTTCCCCAAGCCACTGGCCAGCCTTTAGCTGTGGCTCAAGCTTCCTCTGGAGGGGCAGGGCAGTCCCTCAACCTCAGTCAAGCTGGGGGGAGCAGTGGGAATGGCATCCCAGGATCTGTGGGGCCGGTGGGTGGCCAGGCATCTGGGGGCCTGGGTCAGGTGCCCTCTTCAGGGCTCGGTGGTGGGAGCTGCTCCAGGAAAGGCACTGGGGTGGTGCAGCCTTTGCCTGCAGCCCAGGCAGTGACAGTGAGCCAGGGCAGCCAGACAGAGGCAGAAAATGCAGCAGCCAAGAAGGCAGAGGTAGAGAGCAGTGGACAGCAGAGTGTGGGCATGAACCTGACCCGGACAGCTACACCTGCCCCCAGCCAGACCCTTATCAGCTCAGGTGAGCTTTCTTGGCTCTGCAGGGTATCTATTCACCAAAGACCTGTGGGTTTTTTTTTTTCTCGGAAAGCAGAGGACTGGCTACTTCGTTTCCCATTTGTTTAAAAGATTTATCAGACTACTCTTGATTGACCCTGTTGTAGCATGAGAAAGAAAAAATGAACATTCATACTATGTCATGCTAGTGTTAATACTAATACATACTAATGGGAACTACACCAAATACTAACCAGCTTCCAACCTGCTTAGTTCTGGCTGCTTTCCTCTGAAACCTTGCATTGTTTTCCCTCTGTCTTAGGCTTAGGACAGACATTTGTTTGTACCAGCTATGGGCCAAGTGTTGGGTAGTAAATAGACAAAGTCTCTGCCTAGTGTGTCTATCTGCTAGATTCAGGATTCACTACCTGAGAAGAGGAAAAAATTGTAGTTGAGGCCTGATCAGGCCTGCCCCTGATTTTCTGGATGAAATAAGCTCCCCTTTGTCCCTTGGACCTTGGTTTCCTCAAGGGGGTAACCTCAATTTTCATGCCTTTTAAAGCAATTGAAAAGTTGAATAAGATGTTTCCCTCTGAGATTTTAGGAAATATGGGTTAATAGCAATTGTTGAACTAGCATAGTGAAACCTATATTCTAATGTTGCCAGATCTTGATAACCAAAAAATCATGCTAACAGAATGGGAGAAAAGGAAGTGATAGTACTAAACAAAGAGTAGTAAAAATAAAGATGTTATTTTTGGAATGTAGGTAGATAAGAGACATGGCTACCCGTACTTACCTTCTCTGTGCCCTTTTAGCGGTTAGTCCTAATCTCCTGTTTATTTAGTGTTAACATAGGTGTCCTGAGCCTCATTTGGGAGGTAGGGATGGGGAAGCCCATAGAGTATCAGAAATAATTTAGGGTGGATAGATCACTAAGAGAGAATGGAGAGTTGGTTGTAGTTGTTACAATACCTACATTTACATAGTACTTTTGGTGTCATTTCTTTGTAATTGTATACGATCCCCTTTCCAATGATTTTTAAGAATAGACTTTGATATCACCTAACTTGAAGCAACGGTGTGGATAAGGTAACATCAGAAGGTACCTCTCAGTCTAGGATTCTTTTTATTATATGACCTCAAAGTTGAGAACTCCCGGGAAGAACGCTTTAGCTTAACTAGATCAAATTGTCTTCTTTCCCTGTCCCCTTGCCCGCCTTGGCCTCACTCCTCTAGCAACCTACACACAGATCCAGCCCCACTCGCTGATCCAGCAACAGCAACAGATCCACCTACAGCAGAAGCAAGTAGTAATCCAGCAGCAGATTGCCATCCACCACCAGCAGCAGTTCCAGCACCGGCAGTCCCAGCTGCTCCACACAGCTACCCATCTCCAGTTAGCCCAGCAGCAGCAGCAGCAGCAGCAAGCCCCAGCCCTCACTGCCCCGCAGCCCCCACAAGTCCCACCTCCCCAGCAAGCCCCAGCGCCACAGTCTCAGCAAGCTCAGACCCTGGTTGTCCAGCCTATGCTCCAGTCCCAGGCCCTTGCACTCCCCCCTGACTCTGCCCCTAAGCCACCCGTCCCCATCCAATCCAAGCTGCCTATGGCATCCATTAAGCCCCCTCAGTTAGGGGCCACCAAGATGTCTGCTACCCAGCAACCTCCACCACATATTCCGGTTCAAGTTGTGGGAAGCCGGCAGCCAGGTTCTGCCCAGGCACAGGCTTTAGGATTAGCACAGCTGGCAGCTGCTGTGCCAGCTTCTCGGGGAATGCCAGGCACAGCGCAAGGAGTGGGCCAGACCCATGTAACTTCCCCACCCTCCCAGGCTACTGGTACTCTGCAGGAGGTCCCTCCACCACTGGCCCCTGGGGTCAGCTTGACCCCTATGCAGGGGACAGCACATGTGGTAAAGGGGGGAGCCGCTGCCTCACCTGTTGTGGCCCAGGTGCCTGCTGCCTTCTATATGCAGTCTGTCCAGCTGCCGGTGAGTGACATCTGAAAGTGAAAGGGATTTTATTTGGGGGGTGTTGGTAGGGGATGGACCTGGGTCACAGAGGGGATATTTCCCTTTTAAGCTGGAAGAGTTGCTCAGAGATGAGGGATACTGCTGCTTTTCTGGTCCTGATGATAGAAGGAATCTAATATTAATGTAAGCAGTGTTCAAACTCCATATCCCTAGTAGTTAATATTCTAAGCAACAATTTTTCTGTTTAAACCCACTCTAAGGTAGGCAGGAGTACTGGGACAAACCTACATATAGCAGAACTCAACTCTTAGGTAAATCTCAGAAATGGCCCAGACTGGTAACAAGGGGGAGGACCCAGAAAGGAATACTTTAATTAGAGAATTTAGCTGCTGAGGTGTTAACCTAGCATGAATGGGAGTAGCCATCATCCTATGTTGTCTTTTTTCCTATTTTCTTTCTCATTTCCTCATTATAAAGGGCAAACCCCAGACTCTGGCTGTTAAGCGAAAGGCTGAATCTGAGGAAGACAGAGAAGAAGCCTCCACTATAAACACTGTGCTTCCTGCCAAGTCATCACCAATTGTAGAGAGTCCCAAAACCATGGAAGAAAAGGGCAGCCATGCAGGTGAGATGACAGTGGGCTTCCTAGTGATTTCTGGAGTTCACTAAAGAGCTAAAAGAAAACTCTAGTGCAGTAGTGTACCCAGACTGGGGTGGATAAATGGACAGATCCCCAAACCAGTATGATGATCTAGTGAATCCAGTATTGTGGCAGACAGAACTGAAGGAACCATTTTGTTCTTCTTGTATCTGCTTCTTAATGCATGTATTTTTGTTTTCTAGAGAAAGCTGAGCCAGTGTCAACATGGTCCCTAATACTCCTAGCAGTGACCTAGCAGTCTCAACCTCCACCCCATCAGCACCACCCCCTACGCTGGCCATGATGTCTCGACAGATGGGGGACTTGAAACCCCCACAGGCCATTGTGAAACCTCAAATCCTCACCCACATCATTGAAGGCTTTGTCATCCAGGAAGGGGCAGAACCTTTCCCGGTGAGGAAGTTAGGGTCGAGTAATTTAGAACTGGGGATTACAGTTTGCTCTCCTAAGCAAAAGATAGTTGTTCCCCCAATCAGAATGAATGAACCTGTGATGAGGAAGAATACACACACCAGGGTTCATTAGCCCTGGATTTAGAGTTAACAGACTTGTGTTTGAATCCTGGCACTGCCACTGTGGGGCCTTGGGCATGACATTTAACCTATCTAGTCCTCCATTTTCCTCATCTTTAAAACAAGGAGAAAAAACTAAATGATCTAAGGTCCCTTCTGGCTCACAATAGACGATCCTATGTAAGTTGGAAAGCAACAAACAAACAAAAAAACATGACAGAGATGGGAAGATGGAAGAAAAAATTCATAGAATTGAGATTAGGTCTCTGGAGATCGTGTAATCTAATCTTTTGATTTTACTAATAAATTGAGACAGTTTACAACAAGTGAAAGGGCTACCCAAGGTTATTGAGCTAGTTAGTGGCAGAGCCAAGACTTAACTGATTCCCAGTCCAGACATCTCACTGTACCATAGGCAAAGGTCAAGAAAAATCTAAAAAGAAATAGGGTGCTAGAGAGAATGTACACCTGCTCCCCAGTGTCTGTATGAAGACCTGGGGACTCTCAAATGTTCACCTGTTCTGGGAGAGTGATCTTCTCTGCTTCAGACTCCGCAGCTAACTTAAGGATATAACAACCTTACAGAGAGATATCCTTGAAAAGAATTGTAAAGGGAAAAGGAAGGAAAATGAGCTAACTAATTATGTTGCCACTTACAGGTGGGCTGTTCTCAGCTCTTAAAGGAGTCTGAGAAGCCATTACAGACAGGGGCTCCTACAGGGCTGAATGAAAGCCAACCAGGTGGCCCCCTAGGAGGGGACAGTCTAACTTCAGGTGAGTATGGCTGTGAAGACCCCTTTTGGGGAAAGAGGTTCATGGTAGTGGGCTTGGATTAATTTACTAGTTCTCTTAAGGGGTTTTATTACTCTGGGAAGAAGGGATCTTGCTCTTTTGGTCAGTTGTTACAGGTTTTTCCTTCTCAGCCAGCAAGTGAAGGGATCAGCACAGGTGGGGATGGGGGCTGGATGAGGATGTAAATGAAAAGGATGATGAAAACATCCCAAATGGCAATGACCTATGTCCTTGAAGAACAGTTTCGATGGTGATCTATCAAAGAGTTCCCGGTTGGGCTACTTAGGGACTGAGAGATGGATTACTAGGGCTTCTGAGGGGCAGCTTCTGGGGCCTGCGGTGTCCTGGTAGCAGTAGCAATAACCTGTCCCTCAGCATTTCCCTGTTCTTTAGAGCTGGATAAGAAAACCAATCTCCTGAAGTGTGAGTACTGTGGAAAGTACGCACCAGAAGAGCAGTTCCGTGGCTCCAAGAGATTCTGCTCCATGACATGTGCTAAGAGGTACTGATAGCTCTCTAACCCTCACAGTCCTTTCCCAGGACCATTTCCCAGATACTCTTTCAGCTCCTCCTCTCCTGCCTCCCTCTTCCTTTCCTTAACATTTAAAAGTTCCAGTTTGTTTTGTGTAGGGTTAGCATTCGTGGTGGGAAGCCCTACCCAAAGTCTTGACCGGGTCCTGTGCCTTACGCCCTACTCCCATAGGTACAATGTGAGCTGTAGCCACCAGTTCCGACTGAAGCGGAAGAAGATGAAAGAGTTTCAGGAGGCTAACTATGCTCGAGTAAGACGGCGCGGGCCTAGACGAAGTTCCTCTGACATTGCCCGGGCCAAGATCCAGGGCAAGAGACACCGGGTGAGGTTCCCTTGAAGACCACTGAGACACCTATACCCCACCATGAAATAAATTTTCTTCCCTCCTTCACCCTCCCCTGACCCTCATTTCTAGAAGTTTGAAGCATGTTGAGTTACTGCTGCTGAGTGTGGCAACATCCCAACCCAGTGTTAGTCTGGATGAGACTTCCCTTATGTGTCCTCTACTTCTTGTCTTTCAATGTAATTTTTGCATAGGAGATCTGGATTAGGTATATCATGAAAAAGGAGAAACATGAAAAATCAAAAAGCAACAATGCAGTAAAGATTAAAATTTGCCTATAAATAGAGCTGCCTTGTGTGCATTTGCGGAATACTGCATACATGTGTATATCTCTTGGAAACATTCTAAAGGCCCCCAGAATGTGGAAGGTGCATATGATAGTTTGGCTTTTAATTCTACCAGCCCCTCTTCCTTATCTGTCTTCCTCCACAGGGTCAAGAGGATTCTAGCCGGGGCTCAGATAACTCTAGTTATGACGAAGCGCTATCCCCCACATCCCCTGGGCCTTTATCAGTGAGGGCTGGTCATGGAGAACGGGACCTGGGAAATCCTAACACAGACCCCCTAACACCAGAGCTGCACGGTATCAACCCAGTCTTCCTATCCAGTAATCCCAGCCGCTGGAGTGTGGAAGAAGTCTATGAGTTCATCGCCTCTTTACAAGGTCAGACCCTACTGATAACCCCTCCCCAGAGCCTGAAAGGTTAACGTAGATGTTTTCTTTTTAGAAAATATTCCTGACCTTTTCTTTAGGGACCAGTGTCACAGCATACCAGTACGAGAGTATAGTGTGTATACGTGGTGCAGAAGGCTGCATTTTTTTCTTTATAGTTAATATTTCCCATCAGCATGGTTTGGAGTTTCGGAGAGGGGGGATTATGGCACTTTATTTAATTTCTTTCACAGAAACTGGCTTGGTATTCTGCCAGGTTACAGAAACATTTCTGTTGTTTGAAACTTATTGGGCTTCTACTTTAATGGCTGGCTTTCCGACTTTTTTCTCTTAGTCACCATGAGCCTTTTGTGTTGACTTTACCTTACAAAATAAACATTTTGTCACATTTCTTGTAAGCAATAACTGGAAGTAATCTATTTCACTCTAATGAGGGGACTGTGGCTTCTTAAGTCAGAAAAAGAAGTACAAATCAAAATATTTTAAAGAATTAACATGTTCTTTTCTGCCCCCCCACAAAGGATTTTTTTTTTTTGGCAAGGCAATTAGGGTTGTGACTTGCCCAGCATCATGCAGCTAGTGTCAAGTGTTTGGTCTAAAACCGGATTTGAACTCAGGTCCTCCTAACTCCAGGGCTGGTGCACTATTCACTGAGCCACCTAGCTGCCCTCCCTTCTCTCCCAAGGACACTTTCTAAGCCAACTTAAGATACATCCCTTGATGATCTAGTAGTATAGGTATGAGTTCTGGGCCCCAGAGCAGAGTAGGTGTTCTTTGTTCATAATTACAAATGCAAAATATATTTCCCTACTGTGGACCCCTACAGAGTAAGCTGTTCTAGGTTTTACAGTTCCAGGTTTTTATAGTTTTAGCTAACTATAGTTAGTTCTTCCTTAACCCTTGTTAGGTAATTACAGCCAATTGCCCATCCTCCTCTCATTCTACCCCCAGAACATGCCATCTCAGATCCCATACGATAGCACTGAACTTAGGATAAGGGAGTCCCATTCCAGCTTTGCCATTGCTTATCCTCAGTTCATCCATCACGCTCTGCCACTGTTCTGTCTGGGGCACTGTGGGGGCAAAGGAAATACTATCTGCTATACATCTGAAGCTCCTCAGCCTGAAAATGGAAGGGGCATCCTGGGATAGAAATGATGGATGGAGAGGAGGGCAACAGGATGGCACGAGATGGGGCCAGGATGATGCTTGGAGGCTGCTGTGAAACAGGTGGGACAGTCCTAAGGGAGACAGGCCAGGTTACAGCCCCACTGCATTCCAGTCTTTCCTTTTCCTCTTTCTTTTCTGGCTGGCTCCTGTTTTATAAAACTCTTCTCCTTTCTGCCTTCTTCTAGGATGCCAAGAGATTGCAGAAGAGTTCCGCTCCCAGGAGATTGATGGGCAGGCTTTGTTACTACTCAAAGAAGAACATCTCATGAGTGCCATGAATATCAAGTTGGGCCCAGCCCTCAAGATCTGCGCCAAGATCAATGTCCTCAAGGAGACCTAACAGAGTCCTCCCACAGACTAGCCCAAAGTGGGCCCTCCCTTGCTGCCCAAGCTGCAACCTGCTGAGGACCAGCAGAGATCTGGGCAGGGGAAGAGAGAGCGGTCTTACCAGCGGGGAACAAACAGGAAAAATGAGTTTTCACCCACCCCCTGATAAACTTTGCTGTTACCATATGACAACAGCTTTGACACTTCTCAGTTCTAGTTTATTTTTTAAAAAATGGTTCCTTCCTCACCATCCTACCCTTCCCAACACCCCCAAATCTATAAGACCTGGAGGACAACGGTTGCTCAGCTCTGTCCTGGATGGTGGGTCTAGCCAGGGCTTCAGTTCTCCTGGAAGACTATGGTGGAGCAAGTGAGATCTGGGGCTGTTTCCCTCAGTGGGGCGATAAGGGTAGGATTGTCTAGTCTATGGTACCTCTCAGACTGTACCACTGTAGCTGAGGCCGAGTCCCTTTTCCTGAGTACCTCAAAGCTCTACCTGCTCCATGGCAGGGCTGCTGACCTCTCTCTCTGTCTCTCTCGTTGACTCATAACCTCCTGAGTTGCTGTAGGGACATACGGCATGTTTGTGGCTGGCACGTGTGTGGTTTTTCTTGTTCCCTTTGCCCCCCATTCATCCATTGGCTTTCTTCTACTCTACCCACCCTTCTTCCTTTTCTTTCTACTTCTTCTCTCTCCCTTAGCTTTACAAGGCAGGAGTATGAGTTGCTGGGGACAGGAGTATAAGCACCTGCCTCAAACCCTGTTTCTTGTACAACAAAAATATCAAATATTTTTTTTCTTCCTTAGTAAAAGGATGAAAACTGGTCTTGGTTGTCTGTTTTACTTTATTCCTAGAATTCCTAGACCCTAACTTATGCAAACAGCCAGACCACAGGGATTCTTTTTTTTTTTTTGGTCCTTTTAATTTTCTGAAGTTGTGTTTTTATACAAAAAGTGGCATAGACTTTTGCCTTATTTTAAAACACCAGGTTAAGGAAGAGAGAGGAAAACAAAATATACACACACAAAAAAAACCTGCTGATTTTATAATCTTAATTTCCCTATTTTCAAAGGAAAAAAATGTTCAAACAGTAATGAAAAAGCCAAAGATAAATTTTCTGTCTGTAGCTATTTTTGCCCGACTGGCCAGAAGAACCTTATTAGCCAAAGAAAGATCAGCCCAGTTACCTGGCCATAACCACCTAATTAGAAAAGGGAGGCACCAGAAGGAATTTTGAAAACCCTTACTTGCCCAGAAACATCACAGGCAAGACACACTTTCCTCCCTGAGCCAGCAGAGGGAATGTTTAGTAGCATTCTCTACACTTGGAAGCAGAGCTCCAGGCTCCCCACCTGCTTCTATTTGCATTTTTGGCAATTCTTGTGAAAGAAAAATCACATACCTGGGCAGATAGGCCATACTCATAAAAGGGTAGGAGTATAGTAAGAAAAGCTTCACCAGGTTCTGTAACCAGAGAGAGAAAAAAATCTCCCCTCCACCAATAAGCCCACCCTAGGCATGGCTAATTTTCCTTTTTAGCAGCCAATGTGGCACAATACTTGAGTCTCATTTCCCCTTCCTAGTTTCTGGCTTTCTGGATTGGGCTTTGTGGCTGAATGTGAAGTGATAACACAAGATCACAATCCACATCGTATTTCAAGGTAAAGGTCCCTACTAAGTCAACAAATGACCTAGTGATACCTCACAAATCTATGGCCTGGGAAAATTCACATTTTATGGTTCTGTTCCCAGTGGGAGCCAAGAGAGACTGGGGGCTACCTCGGGCCCAGACCAAATTCAGGAACTTGGAAGTGATAATCATTATGAAGCTGTCCCAAGCAGCAGGGAATTCCAACCAAACTCTTGTAAATAAGAGCAGGCATAGGGTAACAGCATGACGGCAACCAAAACCCTATATAAATAATATCATTTTTTTCCCTTTATAATCCAGTGTCTCACAGAAGAGCCTAACATCAAAAATGCAGTAAAAGGGCTAGGAAAGTCTCTTGCCCACTCCCAGCCATCTGTACACCTCCTTATCATCCTTTCTCTGCAAGGGTAGTCCCTCTCAAACCCTCAGTTCCCTTTGGCCCATAAGGAGTGTCCCCTCCTAGGCATATTTCTCTAAGTCAGTGCCACTAATAGACTCCAAAGGGAAAACACAGCAGAGAAGGCAGCTTAGTAGGTAGAAAGAGTGAGTGCAAGTTAAAAGCAAACTAGAGGAAAAAACCGGTAGAAGAGATGGAGCAGCAGCGGCGGTAGAGAAATCTGGCTGAGGATGCTTTGGTTCGGGGGGTGGAGAGAAAGAAAGGCTGGGTGTCTCCAGTGCAGTCACATGGGGAGCAAGTGGTCATCCCTCTCTTCTGATTCTTCCCCGAGCTGGTCGTCCCCCACACCCCGGTAGGCAGCAGGCACATTTCGGGGCTTAGACCGGCACACAAAATCGCAACCATCCTATGAGGAAAGACAAACAACTGACTGCTTAGTCTACGAATATCACAGGTCAGCCCTAGAGAGGCAGTTTCCAGAGAAGAGAAAAGTAACTCACAGAATAAAGATGCCAGCTGAGGATGTGTAAGTTTAAAATTCAAGTTTCTGAGTGCTGGACAGTAGGGTCTTGATGGCAGTAACCACTTCCTTTTCCCCTACACCCACCCCTCCCTCACCCGGTTCCAAAAGACTCAAACCACTTTGACAGAGAAAACTAGAATAAGCCAGTTCTTGCAAAAGGCCAGAATCTGTTTGTTCCCCACACTTGGATACAGAATGGGTACCCTAGCAACAGCCCTATTACTACTTACTGCTACCAAATTGCCCAGATCCTGCCAGAAGGCTAAATGAGGAAACTGCTCCATGCCTTTGGCGCCTACCACCAGCCTTTGGTATAAGAAGCCCCCGATGAAATAGACGGCCACCAGGGAGGCAAACCTACAGAGGAAAGAGAAGGGAAAAAGTATAAAAATAGTCAGGTGAGACACAGGTCCTAAGGAATAAGAAAGTTGGGCACTGAGAGCTAGAAGTAGTGAATAATCAGCAATACAATTAGTGACCTCCCCTCCCCCATGACCTTGAGGCTACCAGCTAGGCTACTGACCTGAACTGGTAAACCATGAGCCTGGGCTCAGAAATCTGTGTGAATCTGGATCCCGTTTAGCACAAATTCATTCTTGGTCAAAACAAATCATCAGCCCCATGGCTTATGTTTTTGTTTATCCCATTAGCAAAAGTAGGAATAAGAATTGTCAAGTCCTCTAGGACACAGCCTCCTTAATGCAATCAGTTTCTACTGTTAAACCCATTCACATTCTCCCAACTGCAGAAGTGGGGATGAGAATGCATTTTTGATCACTTACCCCTATACAGAAATTGTTCCTATTGATCCAGAAAAAGGGAATAGGTATTAAGGTATTTGTGGTTCAGAGCACTCACGTGATAAGGAAGATAGAGCCCACGCTGAGGTGGGAATCTTCAGGTGGGCAAGCCAGACTGCTGTCCATCTCAAAGAGGTAGAAACATTCTTGCATTTTGCCCCTTTCTTCAGACACAGGTACAAAGTTGCCCTGTGTGAAATGGGAAATAATAGTTTACTATGTTAAAAGTTACATTTTCTAGCACCCTTTTAACACTCACTCCCCTTAGCCTAATTAAGCAACCTAATGAAGGAAAGAAATGCTCTCTCGACTCCATATTTTTTCCTAATACGCCCATCCAATAATGCCATGCCCATCCTGCTGTTCAGCCTCTGTCCAACTCTACTAGATCCATGGTGTCTCACCCCAATGGTCTTTTTGTTACAGGAGATCATCACCACTGCCCGTCGCTGTTCCTTGCCACAATGGTTGTTATATTCATCACCCCCTTTATAGGTCAACATGATCCAGTCACCTGAAGTACAAAGAAAATTTTTTTTTTGTCACAGGAAAGGGTAGCAGCAACAGAATTGGGCAGTGGGGTGGGTAGAAAAGAATAAAAGGGATTCAGATGGATTAGCTTTACTTGAAAAATTTGTTCATTATAGCATCAAGGGACCTATGTACCAAACATACCAAAGTATTATGTGCCTTGCTTAATATAGTTGTGGAAATACCCATCATTTTATAGGATAATCGGAAATGAAAAAGCTGAGTCTAGGCTAGTAAGAAATCTTGATTTTTCCATATTAATGTAAGGGCAGAGTGACATGAATCTAAACAATTTCTATTTCACTGGGATATACTAAATAGCTATTTCAAATCAATCTTATAAGTTAATATTCAGTCACATTTATTAAATGCATACTACTTGCTGACTAAAGGGTAGAAGGGAGAAGCCTACCTACTTTCTGGTATTTAAAATCAGCCACTAATAATTCAAAGTTATCATCTATGTGCTGAATTGGTTGAATGATGGAGAGGAGAAGGGGATGGTGGCACAAGGATGATCACATTCTTTCCATCTTTAACCCTAAATGAAATAATCATGCCAACAGATGTTCCCCAAGCAACAAAGATCTAAAGAAAATTGTAAAAAGGGATATCCTTAAATGGGAGACCAGGTGGTAGTTCATTAGATACATCTGAAAGGGTAGAGAAATCTTGGGAAGCTGAGTTGATAGTAGTCGGCTTTGAAGTTAACTGATGATAGGAGAAGTACAAAAGGGCCTTACTTCCATTGAAGACATGGGTTTCATTGATTCTCCCTATTATCGTCTCCTTGTTATTCTTCAAGTTGATCTGCACCAGGCCAGCCCCGGAGTTGTTGCTGCCAACTTCCCGGCACACCCTAAACTTGTAGGTATAGGATTCTGAACCCTGGCCCACAGTACTTATAAAGCTGTTAAAACAGAACAGGGAAACAAGAAAGAAGGGGGAAAAAGTCAGAATGGGCATCTCCACTTACAGCAGAATCTGCTCTGACCACATCTACTGAGGTTTTGGTCCATTTATCAGAGTTCATCTCACCTTTTTGGCAGAGATGATTATGGTCACACTTAATAGCTAATACCATCTGCAGAAATGTGATACCTGAAACTCTGAAAGGTTAGCTAGTAATTAAAATACACCTGCCAGAGCTTCTAGGCTTTTTAACAGATTATCTATACTAAGCCCTGTCACTTATATATGCCATTTTCCCATGCCCAAGAACATGGCATTCTGCGATTGCTTTTTTCCTTACACGGACCTTTAACTGATATCCTCTTGGAAATTCCTGAGACTTAAGGTAGTAGGGAACAGCTGATGTATGGATCTAACAATGCCCATGTAAGAAGTCTAAGGCCCAGTGCCCAAGTCAAATAGTTTGTCATCAAAAGTACACTTTACAGAGGACAGGCTTAGTCTCTGGAGTCTGTTCCTGGAGACAGATAAATCAGCTGCATAATGTGAGAAATACAGGCTCCTAGGAAAAGTTGGGCCGATTTCCCTTCCTTTCCTTCATTATGAAACAGGGTAGTCAGTCCTCAAAAAAGCCACAGATGACATTCCCTACATGGTAAGGTTTTTTTAACCCTGGAATCAGAGAAAAATTGTTTAAAACAACTACTGCCCCCAAACCCTTGGAAGTTTCTGCCCTTTGTTGTTGTTCAATCTTTTCAGTTTGTCCAACTCTTTATGACCCCATTTGGGGTTTCCTTTGGCAGAGATACTGGAATAGTTTGCCTTTTCCTTCTCCAAATTTCTTGTTTCCTTCCAACCTTTACCTTTGGTCAAAAAGTGGAGTCAACTTCTTCAGAATGGCCAGCTCCTTCTCTGACTCTTTATCCTTCTCTCCTATCAAGTCACATGTTTTCTCTTCTACCTGCCAGGCCTCCCTCACTGCCACAGCCAGGAGTAGCAAAAACAGCAGC